TTTATTTATTTATTTATTTATTTATTAGACTTATATACCGCTTCATAGGGCTTTCAGCCCTCTCTAAGAGTCAGCATATCACCCCCAACAATCCGGGTCCTCATTTCACCCACCTCGGAAGGATGGAAGGCTGAGTCAACCTTGAGCCGGTGAGATTTGAACCGCCGAACTGCAGAACTGCAGTCAGCTGAAGTAGCCTGCAGTGCTGCATTTAACCCCTGCGCCACCTCGGCTCTTGATGTTCCTAGTTATTAGGATGATTAAAGGCCTGGAGACTAAAACAGGAAGAGCGGTTGCAGGAATGGGGTTTGGCTAGTCCAGAGAAGAGAAGGACCAGGGGGAACATCATAGCAGCATTCCAGTATTTGAGAGGCTGCTCAAAAGAAGAAGCGGAGTGTGTGTGTGTGTCTCCCTATTCCCCAAAGCATCTGAAGTCAGGACAAATGGAAACTAATCACGGAGCAACTTGGAATTGAGGAGAAACTTCCTAACAGGGAGGACAATTAGCCAGCGGAACAGCTTGCCACTAGAAGTTGCGGATGCTCCATCACTGGAGGTTTTTAAGAAGAGACTGGCCAGGCACTTGTCTGAAACGGTACATAGGCTCTCCTGCTTTAGCAAAGGGGATGGACTAGAAGACCTCCCGGGTGCCTTCCCGCTCTATTCTGATCGATCGAACCCTACCAGCGTGATATACACGCACGGACTAAAAACAAAACTCACAGTGGCAACTTGGATCATGTTGTTATGGATGGAGGCCAGCTTGACTGTGTGGCCCAGGTCCTTGCAGGCTTCCCTAGTGGTTAGCGCTCCCACCCACTTTCTTACCGTCACTTTCCGTGGGTTCTCCGTGGAAACTGTCCGCGCGAAAGATATGGACTTCCATCAGCTCCGCGTTGCCTACAAACTCAAAGGTGATCTGACCCATTTTCTGTAAGGTGTCCACGATCAAGCTGCTTTCTTCCTGAAGCTCCCTGGGAATAAGGGAACAAGAGAGTTTGGGGAAAGTGGAGGATTGGGTTCACACGTCCCTTCTCACCTCTGGGTGTTTCCCTCAGTGCTGGTGGTCCTGACTCTGCATTCCTGCATTTTTAAACTTGTTTCCTTTGGAAGGACAACAGGATCAGGGCGAAGGTGCGTGATTGGCCTTCCAACTGGGAACAAGCATTTAATACAGACGGCCCTCGACTCAGGGCCATTGACGGAGTGACTGCTTAAAATTACGATGTCGCTAACTTGCTTAGTAGAGGAGAAGCTGGTCCCAATTGGAAGCAAATACTGTGAGTTTAATGAATCTTAAGTTTAGATGGAAACAGGCCATAAACCCAAGCAGTCTTTTAATTATGATATTGTAGGTCTGTGCCTGCTGATCATGGGTGAAATACTGTTCTCTTTGTCATGGCTGTGAGGCCAGGAGGGCAGTATGTCTATCATCTTTTCTTTCTTTCTTTTTCTTTCTTTCTTTCTTTCTTTCTTTCTTTCTTTCTTTCTTTCTTTCTTTCTTTCTTTCTT